TCATTTACATTATCCAAAGTCAGCAGTAGAAATATAAATATGCTTTAAAGTGCCACAACAGCTTTTGCTGCAACAGGCTAACATTGGATTTTGCCTTTTCCCAGGTGACTCCTGGTGCTGACAGTGCAGCACCTTAGTCAACTAGTGCTAACTTAATGATCCAAAAACTATGTAGTTTCTTCCACTCCATGCAGTGAACACCAAACCCCATCTAGAGGCTAACCAGATATCTAATACTACTGAATTACTGAATATCTATCCGATTTTTCATCTCTCAAAGTTTTCATAGCAAAGACTGTACTATGTATAATGGACTGGCATAAAGTTACACTATAAAAAATGGGAAGACCTCAAACAGATACATTTGAACAAAACTGGATTTTGTTTATAGCGCATCAGAAAACAAAATTTAATGATTCTGTAAAAACTGATGCTTTGTGATTGACAAAAGAAATAAAAAACAAAGACTGTTAATAATTAGCCCGTATGTTGCATTCAGAAGAACAACATTTTAAAGGATCCTTAGAGCTTTGAAACACATTTATTTAAGCTCATTATGCCTCTGGCAGACTATCTCGAAAGTGAGCCAAGCACAGGTCCACAGAGAAAACAAAATGCTGCTTCAAAGCTTGGATGACTTTTCCAGGGCAAGTTCCTCTCTGAACTGACATGCAACTGATCTGACACATCAGTTCCTGATGACGTCAAAATTGTTCTCAGAAGGATACTCTCAGAGAGTCATTTTTTTCTCTGAAATTCCTGGTCAGAGAACCAGCAGGACATTTTTTGAAAGCATCCTTCTTGGTTAAGTTTACACTTTAGGTTCTTTGGTTCTAAAAGAGCTAAAACCATATTCTGAATTATATGACATTCTGTGCTCTTTCTGAATGATTATTCAGTTGCATCAAAACTGGGCCGAACTACTTTAAAATAAAGTCAAGGGGACAAAATCAATGGCAAACCCTATTACAATGTCTATTGCCACTGACTATTATCAAAATACACTACAAAAGCACTCTTTAAACATCACCACTATTTTGATGCCTGGTCTAATGCCAAATTAATTTTGCTTCCCCTTGCAGTGGTGAGCAGTACAAGTGATAGCCTGTGCACAGTTGACACATTCCACTGGGGCAGGTTCTCCAAATCATTTAATGCATCTGTAATCATAACTTGTATCCTAAGCAGTATTTAAACTTCTTTAATCACAGTTGATATGGTGTCTAAAGAAACAGTTGTTCAGTGTAGTTCTGGAGAGATGGTTTGTGATTCATATGAGATTATGATATTCAGCTTTTACTTTTGACATTTACTTATCAGTGAGTCCTGCTGTGCTCTCCTAGGTAAGTATGCAGAGGGCAGCAGCATTAAAGAGGACTTGAAAACTATATAATGTGCTAATTATAATTTGTTATTATATCTGGACTGACAAACCATTAAGGCCACAGCTAAACCTCCAGAAGTGATACACCAAGGAAACAGAAGAAAATCTATAAGGAGGAGTACTGTGAGGACAGAAAGTGAAACAGGAAAAACAGCTATTAAGGAGAGTATGCTTCTTGTACAGCTGGAGGCTCAAAGCACAGCGTAGTATAGTTACTGAATTGAGTTGTAGTTCCCTTTTCAGTTACGATATGGAGGGAAGACCAGATTACCCATACTTAATGATGAGTTAACAAGGAAACTCAGAGGGGTGCAGCAGTATTTGATGCAGATCAAAGTGAACTAATCAATTTAAAATCCATAACATAAATGCACAATGAAATCCATTTTTAGCCACTAAGTATGAGCAAACTGGTATTTCCCAGATTTGTGTTGGCTAAGGTACAGCTCAGGGGTCCCCAACCTTTTTAAAAAAATGTTTAATAATTTTATTTAATGTAGTTCTCAAAGCACAATACCACCAATATCAAAAAAGGCTCATAAAATACATAATTTGTTGGCAGCATGTGGAGAAACATAAAAAAGTACTTAAACACATCAGCAAAGGCTCTAGCAGCACAGGCGTTGTAACTATCTAAAATTACTCTTGATATCCAGGCTAATGAAACAAAGAGGCAGCTGGGTGAAAAGACTTGACTGAATTTCACAAACACACAACTGAACACAAAATGCAGGATGTGGTAAACTATCACTATCCTTCAAAATCTGGTTTCCAGGGAACAATCAAACAAAAATGAACTACCATGGGTTAGGAAGAGTTGACAAGGGGGCAGGGGCAGCTGAAATCCTCAATAAAATATCACAATCCTCTTTCACAGACCTCAAAGAGAGGAGAGAACCATAAAGAAGACAACAACAACAAAAAACCCAGTTACAAATAACACCAACCTTTTTGACCCCGTGGGCACCTTTAGATCAGACACAGTGTAGAGGGCACAACCACAAAATGGCTGCTGACCAAGGTGGAGCCAGCCACAAACATGGCTGCTGCAGCTTACCTTCAGTCACACAGTAAAGACCCTTGTAGGACTGCCAGGTGCCTACCTTGTACTGGCAGGGGGATTTGGGGGGCCTTCCGGGGGTGGACGGGGATGTTAGCAACTCGAAGACATCACTTTCAGAAGTGATGCTATCGCGTCAATAACATCAGGGCGACACTCTACTTTTGGGGCAAAACTCTATGGTAAAAATGGCAATAAACCATAGAGTTTTGCCCAAAAGGCAGAGTGCCCCCCCAGGCATGATGATGTCACTTCCGGAATTGATGTCATCGTGTTGCTGATGTCCTGTAGGAACATCTGTTAGGGAGTGGAGTTCCCTCTCTGGCTAGCTGGCCAGTGGTGAACAAAAGCCCACAAAAGCAGGGGATCCCCCGCCCCCACCTGGGGACTGGCAAGGCTAGATCCTTGTGCTGTGGTGGCAGCTGCTGTCCAAGCAACGCTTTTAAAAATCTGTGCAGGCAATTAAATCTCCAGTGGTCTATTAGAAGCCTTGGGGGAGAAAAGTCCCACCCACTTTCTAAACACAACTTGGGGTGTCAGGAAAAGTTTCAGTGGGCACCATGGGGCCCATGGGCACCACAGCAGAGATCCCTAGTACAGGTTGTATGCTACCCACAACCATACAAATACTATTTCCTATAATGCTGCACATTTATAAATGGATGCTACATCTATAAAAAATCTATTCTTATGTAAGGCTTCTGTTTATTTTGTTCAGCTCTTCTTTGGACATAAAGAATTCTTTTACTCTTTATAAATGTAAAATGAACATTTCAAGACAGGTGCTTTCTTCTTTTTTAAAAAACTGTATATATAGACATAGCAATACTTTGTTGCAGATTCAAACCCCGGAATGTCGTCAGACGTATTCAAAAGTAGAAGTTATGCAAGCATCTACAGCACTGGACGTTTTTAGAGATATGCACAGTTAGCTGTACTTGTCATTCCTCTAATGTCTGCTCCTTTGATTAGTGACGTTCTGCATTTACAAAACATCTCTCAACAGTCTTTGAGATTATTCTTTGACGAGAGCACGTTAAACACACAGAGACAGTTTTCAAAATACACATTCATGTACAAGGTCTGACCTTCAATGTCTTAATGTAACTAAAAAATTTAGGATGATTGCACTCTCCAATCCAACATTTCCGGGCATTTGTCAAGAGAATAGTTTATTTCTCTGTGTCACAAACAAAGATATTTGAGGAGAAAGAACTGCTGAAGTGGCTTATCACAATCTTCCCTTATTTCATTTTCCTCTCAGTCTAACTATGCATGCTAATACACAAATTTTCAGCCAAGCTGGATCAGATCAACCTGCTGACTTGAAAGCACAATGGGAAATAATATGAGTACGTGAAGCTGCCTTATACTGAGTGAGAGCATTGGTTCATCATGGTCAGCATTGTCTACTCTGACTGGCAGTGGCTCTCCAGAGCCTCAGGCCATTACCATCAACTACTACCTGATTCTTTTAACTGGAGATTAAACCTGGGAGCTTCTGAATGCCAACCAGATACGCTAACACTAAGCCATTACCACTACTCAAATGAATGAAAATTTTCACCACTATACTAGCAAACCATATCTATTGTTATTGTACTGTTCATATTTTTTTTCATCCTAGGCTCCTTAAACTTTCCCTAGAAGCAGCATTCTGAAATGAAGAGTTTTCAAAACTAATACTTTAAGATTCCTCCTTTAGAGTACAATGAAAGTGACTTTGGACACTTTCCCCGCTTCTACAGACCTTCATGGATTCTACCAAAAGTGGCAGTACCAGCTCAAAGAATCTGATCATGATTTTAAGTTATCATTTCCTTTGCCAAATGTATTGAAATCAGACATGTGCACACACTGAACATCAGAAAAGACGGAATTACAACATTATTTAACAACAAGCAAAAAAACTAAAGTTGGCAACATAACACACCTAATAAAGAAAACAAAATGTATCCCTAGCACTATAATCAAGGAGAGGCTCCCATAATATAGACAAGCAAATGTATATACAAAACTAGCAGGCCAGCAAGACGACTTCTAGGCTAGCCTTCTCCTTGCAATGCGGGTTTTGGAGGGTGTTATATGGGAAGTGGCCATTCAGGAAAGCGATGTCCCACTTGCCACCCAAAATGGTATGACTTATCATGACTTACAGCATGTAAGTCACCTGGTTGGGAGAATAAACTACTTAAAGATCACAAAGTTTCTGCACAGCTCTCATCACTGTTGTTGCTTTCAGTTCCCAGAACCAAAACATGCTAATGCCAGCACTTACATGGGTTCTAAGTTTTGATCCTCATCTCCATCTGTGAGGTGGCATAAGTGATTCACCAAAAGGAAGGTAGGACTGGATCAGATTGGGGGACTCAGACAGCCATCCACACTACTTTTTGCAGCCCACAGGGAAAATCCTGTCTAAGTCCTGAGACGGTCAGTCACGTTTCCTGCACAGCTAAAATGGCTAGAAATCACTTTTAAAAATCTGCTCCAGATCTTGAATCAAGACGTAAGACCATGTAAAGAAAAGAGTGAGAATGAGCCACAAACTCTTACCTTCTGAATCCTTGTACAAGGCTACCTCTGAACTGAACAAGATCCACAGATGGCATATCTGCTGAAGACACTGCAGAGGAAATGAAATGTTTTAGAAGGTTTTGACCCAAACTTCTCTAAAAATCATTCACTAAACTATCAGGACCAAAGAATAGGTATTTAATGGGAATCCATTTTATAAAACTATTGCACATTAAATCTCAATCTTCCAGTAACATCTCTTTAATTAGCCTTTGTTCATAAATCATAAAACAGACCGATGTGCAATATCCTGGCCTTGGGTTACATATCTTTTTGGACTCTTTCAATGCTACTGCACATCCATATATAGAAAATTTATCACCAAGCATTAATCTCCATTGGCTCTTTCCTTGTAAATTAATGCCGTCATGAGAGGCTCCATTTGAAGACAGACAGGAAGCTACAGTTCATTCAGAACACATCAGCAAGGTCGCTCTGGGGAGTTTATACATGAGTGCCTGTATATATCCAGGCCAAATGCAAGGTGCTGGTTTAAACCATTGTAGTCCAAACTATATAGTCCAAACGTTAAGGAATGCATGCTTGTCTATTAACTTCACAGGAATTCCATTTTATTTTTTTTTGCAGGAAATGCTTTATACCCTCTGCATTTTGATGCTATGAAGGACAGGGCCTTTTCATTTGTGTCACCTTGTTTACAAAAGAACCTCCCTCTACCTCTCAACCAGACACCAGTTTTGATGATGTTTGATACCATGCTAAGATGTTCTTGTTTTGCCACAATTTTTTAAACCTGATTTGGTTTACTATGCTTATTATAGTTTTCAAGTTTTTATCGCAATCCTATGTTTGGGAACCACCTCAAATAATTTTAAATTAGAATTCAGGAGTATAAATATTTTTAATTATGGCACACTAAATACCTAAGCCTACAGAGTTCCATTAGGTAGATGCAAACTTCTTCCTTTGAGAAAACTAGGATGAGACATGTAGAGTGACCATCTCCTGATATTTACTACATGCAGGAAGATTTTGTCAGAGGGGAGAATTTCAACACACACACACACACACACACAGAGTCTGAATTGATACAGTCTAGCATTCTATCACCTAAGTCCATATGTTTAGAAAAGCTCTGGAAAATAACCAACTCTCCTAAGTTCCAAAAAATTGAAGTGTTTGTTTTCTTCAATTTCTATAATGCAAAGTATTCCAGTAATACCATATCAGCAGCTCAGATGGCTTTTGAGCTTCCATTCATGAGGCATATGCACAAAATGGATGGGCACACAACCACAATTTTAACAGAATGGGCTGACTCCAGCATCTGACCATTAAAGGATCACAGATACCTCCTGCTAGCAGTTTTTTCTGATCCTGGACAAGTTGATGACTGTGGTCAATGGGACTTGTGTGGAGCAAAAGTCATGTGGGTCGGTGGGCTGCAGTGAGAAGGGAGGAGACAAAATAATTTCCTCCTGACTCCTCTATCAGCACACCAACCCGAAGAGGCAGGAATGGTGATTTTACCCCACTCTTTGCTGCAGCCCACCACCTTCTCATGGCACTGGGAATCAGTTCTCCCAGTGTTGGAAAGGAGCACTGGGAAAAAGGAGAAAGTGAGGGGGGAGATCTGCAACAGTAAGTACCTTCTGCTGACAGCTTGCTTGCTCCAACTCAATACTGTTTACACAGAGGTGTATTATTCTTCCAACACCAATATATAGGAAGGGTCCCTAGGATGATGTGAGGTTAAAAACAATCTTGCCCAGTCCCTGGACCAAAAAAGTGATCATTTGATTATACCGTGCCTCATATTTAGTAGCTCCCCTCTCATTTTTTTGTAAAACATTCTTCCATCCAATGGTCTATTATTTACTATCGGATGGCAATTGTTTCTCATCAAATAATAATCCATATTTAAAAGTTTTCGTTCATTAAATTAAAAAACAAAATCAGCTACACCACATATCTACATGCTCAGCCACTGCTGATAATCAGAAACCTGGTTTCCTTAGAAACAAACAAGTTTTTTTTAAAAAAAAATCAAAGATGATGACAATGAAGTGGAGTGGAATGGTATGATAAAGGGAAACAGCTGGTCTTATGCATGCTGTCTTATGTGTTCAGACTCCATCACTGATGCTTCAGTTTTCATCTGGATGAGAGGAAATCTTTGCATTACAAGAGATTAGAAGAACAATCAGCAGCCCCTGGTAGCAGTCAGCTTTAATAGCCCCTTTACAGATTGGTCCATGAAAGTGATCCTTAACTGCATTCTCTCTTTCTTTATAAGAGTAGTACTAAACAAGCTAATTCACAGATTCAGTGGTTTAACTATGTACCAATATTTTAAGGGAGTCAAAAGGCTCAAATTTTTTCACTTTCAAAGAGTAGTCGGCTAAGGAAAAGTCTGTCTCGGTGTCTTATTTGCTGCAGTGATCTGAACTGAAAACAGTCAAAGAACATTGTTCACATTTGAATGTTACAGGAAGACTTCCACAACTCTTTATTAATGGGCAGTAAAAATTATGCTAACTCTTGTACATTTTGAATGCAATATTATAAGAGTGTGATACTTCGGCATGCTCAGCACTAGACTGAGTGAGCTCTGTACCATGACAGGATTTCACCAGCCGAACAGATGCAATAGTTTTATGAGCTTTGACTACTCTGATTAGCTATGGGTGAAGGAGGTGATGCCAAGAAGCAGCCTCTCCCTCCGATCAGCACAGGAAGAACTGAGATCACTGACAATTACTTGGGCAATGCTCAAGCAGCACAGGAGTGTAGCACTACCACTTCCAGGTGCTTGATGCAGGCATTTGAAAGTCTGTGTTTAGTTCATTTTTTTCCTTGTAAATCTTCATAAGTATTTAAATTTACTATTAAGGTGCTGATGTTCCAGGAAAATCCTCCCTATATTTTTCACAGCTGATTCACTTAAGGGGGTAAACAACACAAAAAGTCTGATGAAAAAGAATCTCAATGTAAATTAAGAAAGGGCTTAAATTTCAATTAAATGAGGAGAAAGACATACAAAGACATACATATAGATCCATTTATTTGATTTATTTCCCACGCTCCCCTTCAAGCAGGCTCAGGGCAGGTCACCGAAGTCAGTGAAAACGTAATATAATTAAAAAGCATTAAAACAAGTAACAGATTAAACAAAGCAATAAAAAATACACAAAAGCCAAGTTCCAGTTTGATCACAAACCATATTCACTACCTTAATAAACTACTCAATTTAGAGAATATAAAATATTTAGTCTGGTTTGCATGCAACCTAAAAGTAAACTGTGTACAGTTGTTCGTTTGGTTTTGCTAATACTTGTAATTGTTGCTTTGCTTTTCACCTTGGTATGTTTAAAATCATGTAAGACATATTACATCCTGTCTTTGTTATAGCTCCTAATCAGTCCATCTTAGTGAATTGCTCATGCTCAAACTGACATGGTGAAAATCTGTGTAAACTGCATATATAGTTTAGAAGTAAAATTGAGAAAGTTGTTTTATCAACACACAGATTTGCAATCAAATTTGATTTCACTTTACCTTCACATGCAATTTTGCGTGATATTTTAGTCAGATATTTTAAATTTTAAAAATCTGAATAAATATGGTTCTAATACTGCAGTCACATAGGGACCCACTGTCTTCTACCTTACAGAACAACCGAAATCTTCAGAGTGCTAAGGCACCACTTCCCCTACGATATAACTTCCTAGAAAATAGATGCAGGTGGGTAAGCGTGTTGGTCTGAAGCAACAGAACAAAGTTTGAGTCCAGTGGCACCTTTAAGGTCAACAAAGTGGAATTCCGGGTATAAGCTTCCGTGTGCATACACGAAAATGTTACTTGAGAATCTGTGGCCTGACTACACTACTGTCTGCAGACATCCTCTACTAAGTAACAGCAGACTTCCCAAAATAAAGCAAAATGCTAGTTTATCATCTACTTTTATAAATGCAGGTCTTATGATACAAAAATATACTTACAATAAAACTTCAAAACTAAACTGAGGTAAATGATTCTGTAAGTGATATTCATTTTTTTACTAAGACAGAACATATTTCAAAGAATTTTTTTGTCATTCTGAAAAGCCTTAGAACACAGTAGTGATACCTGTGTTCATGTGTTTTATTGAATATTTTGAGCAATTAAAAACAACATATAAATGTTTTAATATTATAGGTTCACCACCTTGTGGACCCTGATTGGATGGAAAGACAGCATAAAAATGTTTTAAATAACTAATAACATAAACTAGCTATCTGGGTAACAACTACAGTACCAAGGATACTTACATAATGCAAGGACTTTATCCAGGCTTCCACTGGCAGCTTCATGCCTGATTTCTAATGCAGAGAGTGCCTTAGTCTGTACGGGGCAACCTTCTTCCTACAAACAGACCATGATATGGTGAAGAAACACCAGGGTGTGCATGCTGATTTAAGAGTTGACAGTAATGAGTCCAAATATCCACTCAAGCACTGAGTCACCTAAGGGAAGCCAAGCCCCATCCCTTTTGTTATGGGTATAGCACTGGTCTGGTCTGATCTACAGGACGTTATCAAGTTACCTAATGTTTAAAACACATTGTGAATTTATGAAAATAATTATATGGCACCACCATCCTTTTGACCGCACCGTGTACCGCGTGGCTGATTTATGTATAACTGTCCTGGGTTCAGTTGGGTAGCTGTGTTGGTCTGAAGCAACAGAACAAAGTTTGAGTCCAGTGGCACCTTTAAGACCAACAAAATCCAATTCTGGGTATAAGCTGTACCGGATTCAATTTGGGCATGAATACTAGAACTTACAAAATGGAACAAATGACCAAAAAATCAATGATCTACTCCATTCAGCTCGACTACACAAAGAAATTCATTTAGGTAAATTTGTTCTTTGAAGTATTTTCAGTGAAAAGACAGGGAAGATGGCTAGAGTGATGGTGGAGAAAGACTTGGGACAAATCTGACAAGGTATGGGCTAGAGTTCATTTGAAAGCCTGTTCAGTGGCCATAAAGGCAGCAAAGAATCAATACTTTTCCTCCACCATAAAATTCACACTGTGTAGCCCTGCGGAACTCCTCCAGGTGGTCAAGTTACTACTGGGTTTTGGCTCTGCAGTCTGCTGCAATCATTTTGCCAAGCACTTTGCAGATAAAATCTCTCACATCCATTCTGACTTAGACTCTACATTAGCAGCAACAGGATCTGCAGGTTCCAGAGTGCCAATTCGTCCAGTTGTGCGGTATACCATTCAGCTTGTGCAGTCTGAGGATGATGATATGAGTCTGGGAAGTTTAAGACCTACCACCTGTTTGTACGACCTTTTCCCCTCCTGGCTGATTAATTCTGCCACGGGGTGGGCAGGCAGCCTGGGTCCAGGAGATAGTAAATGCTTCCCTGGGAAAATGGTTGCTCTTGCCTCAAAGTGGGCAGTGGTGTGTCCACTCCTAAAGAAACCTACTTTGGATTCAGGAGAGTTGAATAACTACCATCCAGTCTCAAATGTACCATTCTTGTGCAAGGTGACTGAATGAGTGGTGGCTGGCCAGCTTCAAAGATTCCTCAATGAAGAGGATTGTTTACATTCATTCTGATCTGTTTTCAGACCTGGTTATGGGACTGAAACAGCCTTGTTTGCCCTGGTGGATGACATGCACCAGGAGATAAGACAGGAGGACCCTGTTCATTCTCCTGGATCACTTGGCAGGTTTTGATACTATTCATCATGGTATCCTTCTGAATCACATTTCAGGACTGGAGGGCAATGTTTTGCGGTGGTTCTGGTGCTGCCTCCAAGGACAGTTTCAGAGCGTGGTGCTGGGGGAACTGCTGCTTTGCTCCTTGATCTTTGGCCTACAGGGTTTCCCAAGGTTCTTGTCCCCCATGGTTTTCAACATTTATATAAAGCTGCTGGGAGAGGTCAACCGGAAATTTGGGCTAAGGTGCTACCAATATGCAGATGACACTCAGCTCTATCTCGCATTAACAGAAGATCCCAGGTAGTCTGCAGAAACCGAATAGGTGCCTAGAGGCAGTTTTGGAATGGATGAGGGCTAACAAGGTGAAACTTAATTCCCACAAAATAGAGGTGCTACTTGTGGGAGAACGACTGACCTGGGAAACGGGTTACCCCCTCTTCTGGATAGAGCTGCATTCCCCTTCAAGGAGCACATTTGTAGCTTGCGGGTGGGCCTGGGCCTCCTGTTGGATAAACAGTGGGTGGCAACAGTGGCCAGGGGTGCCTTTCAGTAGCTTTGGCTGGTGTGCTAGCTGTGGGCCTTCCTGGACAGAAAAGATCTTGCCACTGCAGTGCATGACCTGGTAACATCTAGATTAGATTACTGCAGTGTGCTCTGCGTGGGCTGTCTTTGAAGACTGTCTGAAAGCTATAGTTGGTACAGAATGCTGTGGCCAGAGTACTGACTGGAGCAAGTCATTGGGACCATATCACTCTAGTCTTGGTCCACCTACAGTAGCTTCCAATTTGCTTCCGGGCTCAATTCAAGGTGCTTTTATTGACCTTTAAAGCCCTGAATGTCCCAGGAACAATATATTTTAAAGACCACCCTCTCCCTTATGAACTTACCCACTGACTCCAGTCATCCATGGAGGCTTCGCTTCAGTTGCCCCCACCATCTGAGGCTAGATGGGTGGCAACCTGAGAAAGAGCCTTCTCTATCGTGACACCAAAACTTTGAAACTCTTCTCCTCAGAGATTTGTCCATCTCTCTCTATTGGTGACTTTAGCCAGCAAGTGAAGATTTTTTTTTGTTTCATCTGGCATACCCCCAATAACAGTTTTGGCCCTCCTTCTAGTGTTATGTATTTTAACTGAATTTTCCATTTTAACTGTATTTCAATTATTTAAATGTTTTTATGGTTGCCACTTTGTGAATCCTGATTAGGAGGAAGGGCAGCATAAAAATATTTTAAGTAAATAAACAGTAAATATTTTTTAAAAAGAGAGGAAAATAGGTTAAAACTGTACTTCAAGGGTATGATTCTAAATCTGAGACATCCCTGCTGAAATAAATTAAACTTGGTGATGTTGTCGAAGAACTGGACTCACCTTTAGCAAATTACTCAAAGAGCTGAAATCATCAAAATTTGTCAGAACATAGTCTGCATACGTTTCCACGTCAGGCTCTATCTGCATTTCATGCATTGCTTTGAGGATTCCAACTGTACCTAATAAAAGAAACAGAATGCCGAACTTTAGCTAAACAAAAGCACAGATGAGTTTTCTAAGAAAACCAGCAGCTATGTTACTTCTCTAACAGTTCAGGGGACTTCTTGTTTTGCTCTCTCTGCTCTTTTACCTTGTCCTTGGTAATCAAGTTTGAAATTGTGAAGTTAGCTGCATTCACATCCACCTTGCTCCACAATACAACAGTAACAGACCATAGAAACAAACACACAAATTAATGAAGTTACAAAAAAAAATTTCCTGACCCAACAATGTTGAGTTAGTGCTTCGAATTACTAATAAATAACCAGGGCATTGACCTCAATATGAGAGAAGAACAGCATCAAAACAAAAGATGGT